GTTAATTGAGATTGATGAAAAAAGAATTTTTCTCTTCAAGAATTTGTCCTACAGTCAAATCGTACTTAATTCGATAAAGAATTAAAGTCTAGATCTTGTCAAATATTTTAAATCTTTGAAATAAATTTTGTGAATAAAAAAAATGATTTTAATCGATCTGTTGAAGAGCGGATTTCTCTCTTAAAGAATGTGTTCCAGATATAGTTTATAGGCGATTGAATAGGGAATCAGATTCTACTTTAACTGCATTATCTTTAATCTCTAAGAGAAACTACGAAAATAGGATGAAAATCTATTTGAAGATATGATATCTATATAACTTTGTTGGCCAGCATTGTAGTAAGATTTCATTCTATCTTGTCGTTGCCCGGGCGTTAATTCAGGTAGGATACGATAGAATATGAAGTTTTCTATCAGGATGCGTTTGCTACAGATTTAGAATTTTTTTTTTTTGGTTTTCGGAGGCAATGACTCATTGAACGGTGACTAATATGATCGACTAAAAATTAAAAATTGCTGGGCAAGGTATTGAATGGGTTCTTTATTTTTTTTAAATTCTCTCATGGATTAGACTAGATTGATTGGATCCTTTATCAATTGTGATTTGATATAGTAACTAAGGCAAATATTGAGTATTTTAAGGGATACGAAATGTATTTTTTGGTTTTTTTTTCTAGTTGCTCAGTCTATGTCAAAATCTGATTGGACGTCTTGGTGGCTTCACATCGATAGACGCACGTAATTATAAAGTCACCATACCGACGCATTGCTTGATTGTAAGAAACGAAAAAAAAAAGCAGCGTGACGCGACACCCTGAGATGTTGAATAATACAAATAAAAACCTTTACAACCACTGTAAATCATGATTTTGATGTGAACTATTAATGCTACATCCTTCTTAGCAAAAAACAATCATGTTGTTCATCCATCGATATAATAAAACAATGCTGTTCATTCAGCGATATAATAAAGCGATTTGTTTAATATATTTCACATTTATTTTTCTTTCAATAAATTATTTATATCATTTTAAAAATTATTCCATATTACATCCTATTCAACAAATTAAACCATTGGATCGATCTTTATTATTTCGTATAAATGGTAGCACGAAATCTTTAGGTAAAGCAACTTCAATCTATATTATTAATTTACCATCTCGTCCTGATCGACGTACTGAATCTATTGCACTGATGCAAACACTGAATTTAGAAGCATTTATTGTTCCAGCTTATTCTGTTCAATCAGTTGAGATCGTTAGTCAAAATCGATATCGTAATAAACTACTTCTTAAATTAACTGAATTAGCTTGTTGGGCAAGTCATATGCGTGTATGGATGACTATTGCCAACAATACGCTTTTGCATAATAATACATGGTCATTTATTTTCGAAGATGATATAGATCTTGAAATTGATACACCTCGAATACTGAAATCATTTTCACATTCAATATGGAATGAAGCTGATTTAATTTATCTTGGTCATTGTGGTGATATACCAGGAACACTTATAGATCAATCATGGAAACATATTCATCGTGTTCATCAAGCTCTTCGACCTAGTTGTACACATGCATATGCAATTCGATCAGATGC